AATTAATTAGATCCATGAGATAATTTGGAGATTCAAAGAATTTCGTTTTATTGCTAAGTTGAGAGGTTAGGGTTTTAAAATCAAGAAAAAAAACCGAGGTTTAAGACAGGAATTTGGGTAAAAATAATTGATACCAGAATTTATAGGAAAAATGGTTGTAACCTACCCGAAATATGGGGTAATATGTAGAAAACTACCTGAAGTATAAAAATGTGTTTTAAACTACACCAATTTATAAAAATGTGCTTTAAACTACACGAAATATGAAAAAACATGTTGCGAACAGCATATTGGATTTTTAAAGCTTAAAACGTGATTTTTATAAATCCGATTGTAATTGTAATTAAATTTTCTTAAACCCGATTTAATYAAATATCCGACCCGATCAATCACTTAACCCGACCTGGTTCAGATTATCATTTTAACTGGGCCATATTAATTTGACCCAACATTTTTTTAAAACACAAAAACGAAGACATATATACAAATGTCGTGAATTATGCGGAAATAGAGAAAACAAAGCAAACAATATAACTTATAGTTGACTAAAATATCAAAATATCGTTAGTTTGAATAATAAACATAACAATTTAGCCTATCAGCTTTTAACAGTTTTCAAACCAAAAACAAACTTAGCCAAGTAATTTTAGCAAAAGAAAACAAATACAATGATAACTAACGAGATTTTGATATTTTAATCAGAATACTTGGCTAAAATTTGAAAACTGGTTATACAATGATAAATACGCCATTTCGTTTTCAAAGGTAAGATCGTAGTGTTCTTAATTTGAGGAAATTGGATGAACGGAGTGTTAGAAATATAGATGGGCATGACGTGAAGGATAGGGGGAAGAACCCATGACGTGTTTATCATAGCTTGGAAGCCAACATATATGAACAATCAAAACAACAAAAATGGAAAYCCAATCTAGTCCAAAACTCCTATACAGATTTCAAACGTAATTCTAATAGGATATAACTCAATCACTTTGCAATAAAGCTCACATGGTTTATAACCAAATACAAAATGCAAATGAGTCACATGAGAGTCTCCTAGTGGTCGGGTTGGATATTTGATTAAATCGGGTTTAAGAAAATTTAATTACAATTTGACCCCAAAATCACGTTTTAAGCTTTAAAAACCCAATATGTACACAATATAAAAAGCAGTCTCTTCGCAAGAGAGTTATCATAGCCGCCCCTGCTACAGTTCTCTTCACCGGATTTTTGCCCGTTTGAACCCGCGTCCGGTGGCTTCCTCTACGCCGGTGTCGG